TCTAATATAGTAGGTGGAAAGCACAGAGAATGAATCTAATTTTCCTTCACTCCCCACTGGAGATAGGTAAAACGCCAAGACTAAAATTTCAATTTCAATTTCAAAGGCTGTGACTTCCCCAAATAACCCAAGAAAGGTTTGTATCCAGATTTCCCAATGCTTTGGTTTAGTACTTTCGGATTTTTCTCTGTTTGGAAAATTCTACTATCTGAAGTGAAGACTAAACTTCATATTTATAGCTATATTTATATCTCTATCTACCCCAAATTACTGTAAATTTAGGAAACTCTATGTCAATAAACATGTTTGGTAATGGCATATATTACTGCATAACTTACAAAACACAACCTACAAAAAAATGCTTCTCTGAGCCTTTTTCAACAGTGTGACCTTCATCTTCCATTTCAGCCAAGAAAACATGAGCATAAAGAGTATGGTTTGAAGTGGGAAGACCTGAGCAGCTAGACTATGCTTCTAACTCCCTGGGAGATCACAGCAAACACCCATTACCGTAGACACCTCTATCTTACCAACTACACAATTAAGTTTTTGGAATAATGCTCTTTAGGGCCTTTTCTAGATGTAATATTCTCAATGTTTAAAATGTAACTCATATTTCATTAGGACACTTTAAAAAAGAATCCTAATTGACTCCTAATAAGAAGGCATTTGTTTTTGGAGGAGCAGTGGGTATGCTCCAAACTTCCTGGTTGTAACAATCCAGGAATAAAGACACGGAAGCCAATCCCCTGATAATCATAGCATGGTAGGAAAATTACTGTTCAGTGGTTCCCATAAAAGAAACAATGATAATTTCAGTTTATAAGTTGTGATTCATCTGAGGAGATTCTGAAGAAATGCTTTTGTGAGCAACCCACTGACGGGTTAATTATGGGGCAGATATTGAGCCATCACCATAAAGCAGTCGCATTCAACACAGTCACGTCCAGTGACCCCGCCAAAACAATGACCCCAGCCACAGAGGAAAAGAGGGAAAAATAAACAAGACCTGATGATAGATAATGGAAAAGAACTGTCCATGTTTATGGAGTAATAAAATGCTCAATATTACAAGATGACCCAAAGGTTTTGACTGAAATTTAACAACCAAAAGAACTGCTTTTCAAATCTCAGTTAGTATTGAACAAATTACTGAGAACATGTTCCTTCATTGAAACTCTGTTGAACACCCTATTTAGGGTGGGAAATGTGCTTGATTGGATAGCATCATGAAGTAGAAGTTTAGTCCTTGACTACCAAAAACTAGACTTGTGTCTATCCTTAGGAAAACATATGCCCATCATCCACAAAAATAGTATGCTTGTTGTGCTGTCTCTCCCAATTGGATGGGGCCCCCCAAATGTAGGGCGTCCGGATGGAGTGGGGGCTGGTGGCATGAGTAGTGAAAGAATTCACCCAAGGCAGAACAAAAGAGATAAAAGTTTGTTGGATACACTGCAAAAAAGGCCGGGAAGGATAGCAAAGTAAAGATTGTCTGCCACGAGGCAGTGGGCGAAGGCTGTATTTAAAGGGGGAAGGAGAGGAGGTCTGGGAATGTATGGAATTTTTCTTTTTTGGTACCTATGTCTGGGTGTAAGTAGCCCATTGGTTAGTTAGGGCTGATGGATATTTTGAGGTGGTCGCTTGATGGGCCTGTTTGTATTCAGCCAGTGAATACTGTATTCAGTATTCACTGTGGGCCCTTTTGCCTTGATCAAGTTTCCATTGTTCAAGCCTGTTTCCTTAAAAGAGGCCTTGACACTGTATTAGTACTACAGGGTATAGGGTGTGGAATCACATTCCAACAAGAAGGTAAAAATGAGGTCCTTTATCCAACCTCCTTAATTCGGGACAAAGAAATTGAGGCCCAGAGAGAAGAGATGACTTGGTCAGTTTCACACAGCCAGAGCATAACAAAACTATGGGTAAAACTAAGTTGTTCTGACTTCTCAACAAAAAGCTAGTCATTTAGCAAAGTAACGGCTATCACTTAGAATGAAAGTAGGGTTTAATAACCTTGGTGATTTAGGGAATCCAAGCTGTATGACCTACAATGTTTATTCAATTACTAAAAGGAACAATTTTTCATACTAAACAAATCGTATAATAATTTGAAAAAACTTAATTTTAAGGGTACTTTAAAAACCACCACGTCAATATTTGTTTGATACCTTTCTTTAAACAGAAGCTAGACCTTTATAAATGCAGGCCTCATTGTAATAACCATAACAAATAACTCCAGTTTGTATCAATGAGATGATACATAAAATGCACCAGTGGATACACTGTTTAAAAGACTCTATAGAATTATTTTATAGTTATTCCTGTCTAATTTATATTATGTTGTATTAAAAAAAATTTATTCAAAGCAAAATTAATCTAAGCCAGAGAGAAGTCTGGTGGAAACGAAGCAGAATTTAATTTGCATATTTTCTGACTGATATTCTTTCTTTCCCTTTTTCTTAAAAATAGCATATTTTGAACTTTAGGTGGGAAATGCAATTTTAATCTAATGATTAATATACTTGAAATAGTCAACTTGGGGAAGTTTGAAATTAAGGGAAACAATTTATTGTAAAAATTAAGGACAATGACATTGACTTACCTCAAAGATTCAAGCTTAACTTTGTTAATACTTTGGCCACAAGATCAAATTATGTTGGTGAGGAATTTACCTTTTCGGCACTTCGTCGAATTCTGGTTTCACCTTCTCTTTTGGTGTTTTCTTGAGCTTCTTTTAAGCTGTTAAGAGAACAGTTGGTCAGTTTATGGCTCAATCATATTTTCAGTGTCCAGTCTGTGCTAGGCACTTTCATATCCTTGGCCATAGCTTGTTAAACCGATCCACTTAACATGAGACAAGCTTTTCCCCGTCTCAAATTTGAGCCAGAAAATTGCCAAAGCTAAGGAAGGGTGTGAAACTGACTCAATGACAGTCAATTAGAAGCTTTGTTCTGTAAAAGTAGATGGGTGTGACTCCTTGACTGACAAACAGAAGATTGTTGGGGAAAAGTCCCTTTAACTGGCAGAACCAAGAGCTTTTTAACACAATGCTGTGACAAGGGTGAAACCGAACTGAGCATTTGAAGTACTGCCATCCACACCCTTATGTAAAGCTTTTCTATACCTTGTAAAGTATTTGTTTGCCTTCATGTAAAATCACTGCAGTTAAAAAAAGTGACATTGAACTGAGCTTCTAAGTCCTCTCCTATCTATTACCTAATTACAGTCCCAACCGGAGACAGGCATTATTAGTTCTACAGAGGAAGAAACCAAGAGTTAGAGAAGTCAAATCTCTTTTTTAGCTAGTGTGTGAAAACAAACAGAAAGTCACAGAATTGGGGCATGTTGGAAAACGAAACCCACATGTCTCCTGATAAGAAAGTAGAAATTAGGCTTATTTCCTGTCCGGAAACCAGATATAATCACTGTTTTGTAAACCTGATAGGACGTGCCCTTGAATTCTCTGGCAGTACACTGTAATTTTCAAAGGCAGGTGTGAAATTTATTAATCTGTTAGATCTTTCTCTGTGATGATTTTAAAGATCCGTGGATGTAAATGGAGCACTTGAAAGCCTGCTGACATATAGAGAGTCTATATCTTGTTTAACAGCCAGAATATTAAAGACTCTTTGGATCTTCTTCCCATCTCAGCCTCAATACTCACAGATGTCAGGCATTCAGAGAAAGTTAACCCTATCCTTCTCTTCCCTAAAGTTCCACCATTTATAGTAATAATGAAGGCAGCCACATGACATTATTATTATTATTACTTTAAGTTAGATTGTCGCATTTAGTAAGAGTCTCTGTACATATACAAATGAAGCAATGCGCATTAAACGAATGACCTAGTTCATTCCAGGAAAGTGTTTTCTAAATTGTAAAATATTGTGCCTTATAAAATACTGTGCATTGTCCTATCATTATAATTAAGCAAATTAAGAGTCTTGAATTTAATAACTACCATAATTACCTTAACCATGCCTTTTAAGAAACTCTAGCAGATGATATGAATTAAAAAGAAAAGAAGCCATTCAGAGAGCAAGGACGATTTCACTTTAAGAAGGCAAAGAATTATATGCTTCATGAAAAGGACTGTATCTCTCTATAGAGTGGTTCTCAGGACAGCAACCAAGTGCATCCTCATCAAATCCACCTACTTGGCCTGCATGAGGATGATGATACTTACAAGAGCTCAGCACACATGGCACACTTATTGCCATGTGTTTTGCCATCAGGGCCAAGGACTGGATCATTTTCCCTTGTGCATTCAAGTCTTCCATCCTTCACATAAGGCCGAAAAGCACTACATACATCCTGAAGAACAGGGAAAAGAACTTAACATCCTGATTGTAATGCATTCCACACGGTTTTCAGAATTTTATAGTACTCAGTGCTTCTCTGCCCAATGCACACTAGCCACTTAGAGCAGTGCCAGATGCCTAGAAGTAGCTCAGTAAGTGTTGCATAATTCATGAGGTTAAGTATGGTGCTCATTTACTTATTCATTTATTAGTAAACACAGATACCCTAGCATGTGTTAGAACTAAGGCGGAACACAGTCCTTGCACTCAACTTGCTCATGATCTACTGGATGACACAAAGAGACATTTAAAATACGATGTACTAACTGCCCTGATAGGTGCTCTAGGAGCATAGAAAGGGCACCAAACCTTGACTTAGGAAAAAACATTCAGCTAGAAAAAGTCAAGTGTGACATGTCTGAGATACTCATTTCTTTCTCCTATAATCACAAGTGCACAGAATGTTAGCAAAGGGAAAAGCTATTTAAGCCAAATCTCATTTTTAGATATGGAAACACTGGTACCGTGTGGGTAAGTAATTTACCTAAGGTCTCCTGACAGCAAGTGACAGTGCTAGGGTTTCAATTCAGATTACGTGACTGAAGCATAATGCCCTTTCTACTATAAGTGTAGTTTCCTTTTGATGGATGGATGGATTGACTGATTGATTGACTGATTGATTTTTTTTTTTCATAGAAAGCAGAAATAGAGCTGAAAAGTCTAACTACCAAAGTCACCTGCTCCAGTTACAGGAACTATCAACTGCTTTTCATCTAAACAAGCAGGGCCCCATCTTAGGTAAAGCAAGAATTGCTTCCTTCCTAGTACCCCATCAAAGAAGGAAGAGGAGAGCATCTTCTTTCTCTCTGAAGTCAGCCTCCCAAGATTTCCCACCATTTTGACACTTGTCCTCACCTGCTCTGGATTATTGGTCTCACATTCCCCTTCACTTTTTATGCCAACTTGGGACCTGGTTTTACTGGAATTGAAAGTTAGTAGACACAGAAGTTTAGTATCACAGAACTTCTTACCGTTCAAAAGTAACTTATTGTCACTGTATTATAATTCTCCTTTGCCCTTGAAAACAAATGTCACATCGCATTCTTTTCCTCATTTACTCTTTCTAATGAGAGCCTGTGTTTATAACTTGGAGTTGAAGAAATAGAATTATGTTGGAGGGCTAATAAGAGTCAGGTCTATAAATATTATTTCTAGAATTTTCTTTCCTACGTCTAAAGAGGATCCATATCAGAAGAGAAGGAAAAAATACACCTTATAACTAAAAACAGCAAAGAACTATGCTGTTGTTGATGATGGTGTTTTAAATATACGAATTCAAGTTTAAATGATCTAACATCCTGCTCTATTATTCTTTGTTTGGGTTATGCTGACTAATATTTTAGTTGTCACGGAAAGTACCTTAAGTCCCAAGAATTAAGTTTATTCAGTCTCATAGAGCTTTAACGCTATCTGAAAACAAAACCATAAATGTAAAATACATTTCCTACTTTTTGAAAAGGTAAGGCAGCTTAAAACCACAGCCTCTGTATAACAATAAAAAAACAACAAAAGCAATATAAAGAGGAAAAGGATGTTATTAAAAGTTACAAGAAAAAAGTTATATCAAAAGATATCATCTGAGGGAAACAAAAAAAAAATTGAATCCCAGTGTTACTGCAGAGTCCCCTAGTAGACAAAGCTAAGGAAGAAACCCAATGAGCAGTATGGCTCTCACTGTATAATGAAGGAAGTATACCAGAAATTAGGGGTGAGACACTTAGACCTGAAGAGATTTAAAGAATCTATCACAGGATCCCCCACATAAAACATAGTAGTAATTAAATGTACAGTGTGCTCATAATAGTATTACAAAATACATATCTAATAAAACCTGTCTGTTCTCCCTATGTCTGTTTGTGTTTTCCGTTTATGTTGACCACTGGTGAGAGGTGAAGGCATCATTTCAGAGTGCATCTCTGAAAATGCAATAATGCAAGGGATCAGAGGGATTTAATTCAGTTGTATTTTGGTAGAGATACTTATTACAAGGAGGGATAACGCTTGCAGAACCCTGAAGACTGAATATTTATCATACCTTTTATTAGTTTCAAGCACTGGTTGTTATTATGTGTGCAAAAAGTGGAGAGCAGACAATTCAAGACTGAGGCCACAGGCCAGAACCTGTGAAGCAGGTGTGCCATCTTGTTGACTGACAACCGACAACCAAACTTAGCACTGAGGGTGGAGAAAGAATCAAACGGGGACAAAATGTTGGACAGTGAGATGCTTTAGCTATGTGACAAAGGTCAAATCAATGGAAAGAAGTTCAATATTGAAAGTTCCAATTATCTACTCTAATATTATAAATTACTGAGCACTAAATAAAAAAATCATTTGATGATTAAATAATTCTCTGTAAAAAAAGATATACTCCTAGATAGATAGATAGAAAGGGACAGATGTCTGTCTGTATATGTATGTGTATATAAGTGTATGTACATACATGTGTGCTTATATGTGCATACAGGTAGGTACTTAGATTTAGATCTATCAGATGTCTGTCTACTTCACAGAGACACTGATAACTCTCTGATAAACTGCATACAAAAGTGCTTTGTAAAATATAAAGTGTTGCACTTCATATTTTTTCCCTTAAGAATAGTAAAAAGAGTGGTCCTAATAATTTCTGGGTGGCTAACTTTCACAAAATGAATTGATATTTTAAAGACTGTAGGAAAAAATTGTGTCATGTACTTGTATGGAGAGCATGCTTTAGGGAGAAAGCCTGCTGCAGATACTCACGCGTTCTCGGCACACAGCGCACATTTGTTGCTGTAGGTTTTCCCGTCTGTGCCACAAAGGGCTGCGTTATCGAAGGTACACATAAAATCCCCACTTCTCTCGTCTTTCCTGAAATCATCACAATTCAACTGCAAGAGACGTTATCAAGGAACATCAAAATATAAGAGATAAAATATTCCTTAGACACATAAATACGTGAACATTTTAAACCCACAACAATATAACTTACTGGAAAACAAAACAGACTGAGGAGACTACAGTGCACGAATAACATCATGAATAACAAAACATGGCCCCAGAACAGAGACGTACTTAGATTTTAGGAGAAAGAATTGGTATTTGATTTCAGCCACTTGCTATCCGGGTGAGGTAGGCCAAGTCTCCCCTCTGAAACTTAGCATACTGTTTGTCAAATCCTGACGGCCTTCTTAGCAGAATGATAATGAGGTCTAGTGGATAAGCATAGGAAAGCTCTCTGTAAACTCTAAGCTACAATGAAGTTTTTATTATTATAGATTAGGGTAGTGATCAGGAGCCAGATTGCTGGGCTTATAATTCTAACTCTGCCACATACTGGCTGTGTGATATGGGAGTTACTTAACCCCTCTGTGCTGTAGTGTCCTTATTTGCAAAATGTGTACAATATTACTAACCTCTCAGCATTTTTTTTTAAAGATTTTTTAATGTATTCATTTGAGACACAGAGATAGAGAGAGCATGAGCAGGGGGAGAGGCAGAGGGAGAGGGAGAAGCAGGCTCCCTGCTGAGCCAGGAGCCTGATGCGGGGCTCGATCCCAGGACCCCGGATCATGACCTGAGCCGAAGGCAGATGCTCAACCATCTGAGCCACCCAGGCGCTCCACCTCTCAGCATTTTAAAGAAGTTTCAGGGTATGAATACATGCACAGCATTTATGATGGCGCGTAGCATATCATAACCCTTCACTGTTGTTATTGTTGTTGTTATTTTAAACATTTTCCTCACTGACAAGCAAGCCAATCATGAAACATGTTTTGGGGATGATGGAAGAAATCTCCAAATCTCAGCTCAAATAATATGACGCATACTTAGGGACATACCTGTATGGTGAGGAAAACAACTACACTAGGTGGTTAACTGGAGACTAGGGTTTGATTCTCACATCCGCCACCCACTCACTCCACCTCTTTGAACCTTACTTTCCTTGTCTGACAAATGGAAATTCACACCCCATCTGTCCTACAGATTTGTGCTGAGCATCAAATGAATACTTAGGAAACTTTATTTGGCAACACTATTGTGACATGAGCTAACTAAAGAAGACCTAGACTTAACTTGAATTTTGTTTCTATCCAAAAGCAAAGAATGACACTGGAGAATTTTTTAGTTATTATATTGCATGACAAAATAAATTTTTGATGTTATTGTCATAATAAAAATATTTTAAATATAGATATGGAACACTTAGAATATAGACCTGTGACCTAGTATGTTACACAATAGAAAGAATAAAAGAACAATTACAAATACATAGTGAATTTGTGAACCAAAAGGTTACATCAAGGAACACTTCTGAAAAACAATAAAAAAGGAAAAAGAATTTAAAGTAGAAAAAAAAAAGCTATGGAACATAACCCACTGTTCATGTCATCTGTTGGGGAAGAAGTTAAAATAGAGGGAAGATAAGTAATGGCTATATTTGTTATTTCATTTATTCGGTTGTTCATTTGTTCCTCAAAATCCACTATACATCTGCTAGCCTCTGGGCTTCTACTAGACGAAGACATTGCCAAAAAAAAAACCAAAAAAAAAACACCTTGGAATATATGCTCTAAGGAACTTATATTCTGATGAGAAGGTAAAGACCATAAATATGATAATTTGAAATTAAAATAAATGCTATTAAAAATAATCTGAACAATAACTAGAATGATGGCTATTTTAAATATAGTGTCAAGAAAGATCTCTCTGTAAAGGTAACATTCGAGGTAAAATGGGATTAATGAGCAGAAGCCAGCCACTGGAGATCTGAGGGAAGGACATTCCAGGCGTAGAGAACTGCAAGTGCAAAGGATCTGTGATAGGAACTAGACTGTCCTGCTTCAGGGGCACAAAGGAGTGTGGCTGCTGCGTGAGGAAAAAGCAGAGAGCAGCGGGTTTTCTCTCTAGGGTCATTTCTTTCTTTTTTTTTTTTAATTTTGTTATGTTATGTTAGTCACCATACAATACATCATTAGTTTTTGATGTGGTGATCCACGATCCACTGTTTTCGAAACTTAGCATACTGTTTGTCAAATCCTGCTGGCCTTCTTAGCAGAGTGCTCCATGCAGTACGTGCCCTCCTTAATACCCATCACCAGGCTAACCAATGCCCCCTCCCCCCTCCCCTCTAAAACCCTGTTTGTCTCTCAGAGTCCATAGTCTCTCATGGTTCATCTCTCCCTCCGATTCCCACCCCCCCATTTTTTCCTTCCTTCTCCTAGTGACCTCCATGCTATTCCTTATGTTCCACAAATAAGTGAAACCATATGATAATTGACTTTCTCTGCTTGACTTATTTCACTTAGCATAATCTCCTCCAGTCCCATCCATGTTGATGTAAAAGTTGGGTATTCATCCTTTCTGATGGCTGAATAATATTCCCTTCAACAGATGAATGGATAAAGAAGATGTGGTCCATATATACAATGGAATATTACTCTAGGGTCATTTCTGGAGAAACTAATGAAGCATGGGTGATATGGATTGATTTTATTGACTTGGGACAATCACTGCTATTCCCCTTCAGCAAAAGCAAGTGTAATACTAGGTCACAGGTGTTGGCAGGGTGATGATGGGGCAGATAAAAAGTGCAGCTGTGAGGCCCTGAGAACAGGTGTGGGTATTTACTCCTCCTCCCCCGCCTCCCCCTCCAAACTCCAAGGACTGGTAGGTCACAACCTACAGAGAACACCTCTTCCTAATGCTAACAGTTTCTGAGAGCTTACAGATGGATTCCTAACCTGATTGGAGTAGCAACAAACTGGTTCCAGAACCTTCTGATCTAGGCTTCATCCCTTTTCCTATCCTTATACTCCCCAGGAGAGGCAGAGACTGAATGTAGCCTTGAACACCATCTCACTCACTGTAGCAGAAAAAAATAACTAAAGCTATTATGGAATGTAGAGTAGAAATACTTGTATATGTAAGGAACAAAACATAAAAGAAATATGGTAATGTGAGCAATAGTATCAGTTGAAGCAGAATTATCAAAATGCATAGAAAAATGATTTTTCAAGACTGTAACTATGCTTTAGAGAGATAAGAGAAAATATCTGCAATATGAAACCAGAAAAAAAGAAGCTATAATGGGAAAAAAGTGGAAGTTTTAGACATAGAAAGTATTTAAATGGTAATAAATAAAACAATAGAAATAATAAAAGTAGGATAGGTACATGTACCTAAGGAATTTGTAAACCAGAAGATTAGATCAAGAAACTCTCAGAGAAGCAATGGTAAAGGAAAATGAATTCAAAATAGAAGCGAAAACCTAAAGAACATGGTGAATAGAATTAGAAGTCCTAAAAAGGAGGCAACCATATATAGGAAAAATATTTGAAGAAATAGGGAACATTTCTAGAATCAATGAAAAATGAAAAAACAAAGAAATAGAGAAATAGCCATAGCAACTCAAAGATAGAATCTGGTCAATAACAAATTAGAGAGGTTTAGGGATTTTTAACCAAATAAAAGCAAGCTAACATATGTTAGGGGAGAAGATACAGATATTAACAATAAACAAAGACATTAGTAATAGTGATGATAAATAATTATAAATATGGATATTTGGCTGGGGGAGTCATATTAAGAGCAAAAACAGATATGCAGCATTTAACTCATCATCAAAGAAAAGCTGGAAGGAAGAAACTACTTTTAAAATAATTTTTTAAAAATATGAAAAATTAGGAGAATCAAGTTCTAGTACAACAGAAATAACAACTGTAAATGAGCTAAACACACAAATTAAAACAAAATTTGTGGTTGGATTTTAAAAAACAGGATCAAACCAGGTATGGATGATAAGAGAAAATTAAAATTAAAGAGCACACAGATATTAAAACAATAGGATAAGAAAAGATAT